GCGTTGGCTGCCGAGGGTTTTTTAGACATTGATTTCGACACATTGACTACTGTTCTCGAAAGAGATACTCTTCGGATCAGAGAAGTGGTTCTATTCAACGCAGTGGTCCGTTGGGCCGAACAGGAATGCCTGCGCAAGAGTTTGCCCGACAATCCTGACAATCAAAGACAAATGCTGTCTCGCGCTCTATATCTGATCCGATTTCCGCTGATGACTGTCGAAGAGTTCGCTGTAGACGTCGCTCAGTCCGGAATACTTACCGATCGAGAAGTGGTCTGTTATTTGACTACTATTTTTTGTGTCAATTATTTAATGCAAAAATGTTGTGTTTGGCGTTTAGGTCTCGCTATTCCTATTCTTCACAGTAAACCCGAAGCCGACGGTTCCCTTTCCAGACATCCCTCGCTGTTGTATTACAGGCAAAGAACAGGTGGTTTCCCGCTTTCAGAGGACCGAAAGCCGTTGGGGTTACAGCGGAACCAGTGATAGAATCCGGTTTACAGTCGACCGACGAATCTTTGTGATCGGTTTCGGTCTCTACGGCTCGATTCACGGGCCGTCCGATTACGACGTGACCGTTCAGATCATACACACGGGTTCCGGCAAACTGTTGGCCTCCAACGACACGACGTTCAGCTGCGACGGAACGCCCAACACTTTCCGCGTGATGTTCAAAACGCCGGTTGAGATCAACCCCAACACCAACTACACGGCGTGCGCCACACTTAAGGGCTCGGACTCCCACTACGGCACTAACGGGAGCCGTAAAGTGGTGTTTGATTTGTCCGGTTCTGTGGGTAAAGTAATATTTCAGTTCAGTTACGCCGCCGGTTGTAATAACGGCACGTCTGTAGAGGACGGACAGATTCCGGAGATTATATTTTATACATAAAACTATATGAATATATGTTGGTTTGAAAACACAATTATTTTTGAAATATTGATTGCAATAATCAGTTATTTTAAAAGATTTTATTTTACTTCTAATCACTTTTGATCGGATAATAAACAGAAAAGTTTCAAATTTTAATGTTTTATTTTTATAAGTAAAACAAATAGTCTTATTGTATGTTTTAAAATGATTGTGATATTACTTCTCTACCTATCTATTTATCAGTAATTTTAATGAGAAATTAATTGATTTTTCTTAGTTATCGGCAATATTTCCGTTTTAATCAAAAGATATTTTTATTCCTAATGTAATGTATATTTGAGTTAATATTCAAAATATTTTTAATTTGATTAATTGAAGAGTGATTTATAATTAGTAAATATTATTGTAAAACTATATTTAAAATACTGTATTCATTATACCATATGTTGATATATGGATTCTATACAAGCAATGAATTAAAGATACTTGTATTTAATTCACTGCTTACAAATTGTAACGTAAAGTTAATTGTCATTAAAAATATTATTAAACAAACTATTATTGATGTGTTTTATTAGCGTTTATAAGATTAAAGGTTTTATTAGATTTGCATTTTATACTTGAAACACATCTGGATATAACATTATCTCATGTCTAAAAAAAATACTAATCTTAACATTTGAGTCAACATTTTCCTAAAATAGACAAAAATTGATTTATTTAACAGTTTATTCCATGAGATATCGGTTGCATCCTCTCATCAAGTGATAGAAATATCTATTTTTGCAACAATTAATCACAAAATATCTATTACTAAATAACACAGCATTTTAACACAAATAAAAATCATTTTTTCCTTAATGTTAACAATATTTTTCAAAATGATTTTATTGTAATTTATAAAACTAAATTAATTTCCAAGAAGTTAGACATTACAAGGATTTTATGGAAAAACATTTTTAATAATTCAATATTTGAAATAAAAATAATGATTTGTCCAGAGATTAGTAGTCAGGCAACAGTCAAAACTTCAAGGTCTAAATTCATAGTTTTTTTTGCCATTTGTTATTATTGAATTTACGTTATATTATATAACTTATATAATACTAACTCGTAAGGAAAGCACACTATTTATAAATTATATAATATCGCAAACATATTCTTAATATTAGATCCTATGTGTGATTCTTGCCATTCATTTTGTTCGAAAACAAATTATCATATAATATACAGTACTTCAGTCAAATACCATTAGAAAAAGTAAGTCTTATTTCACATAAGTTATGTGTTGTCATATTTTTGTTAATTTCTAATATTTTGTCTGTTTTACTATCGATTTATTTTTTCTATAAATTTTATATCAGCTCAGAAACAGTGAATTATAAAATTACTTTTATAAATAATACTTTGATACCGTATAATGAATTAAATATTAAATGATTTAATACTAGACAAATAATACCTAAAGGTATATGTAAAGCTTAACTTAAAACTTAAAGCTTAAAACTTTAAGTGTAACAAAATTTCCCATTAAACACAAAATATTGGAATTTATACTGTAACAGTAATTTGCAAAGTGTTAAAACAATTAACAAAACTATGAATTGCTGCAAAAAAAATTAAAAAAAACTATTATTAAATTGAATTACCTTTCCAAACAATTTTAAACTCATTGAAAGAAGAGAATCAGTGCTCAAAATACACTATAGTGTAGTGACTAAATTTTACACTTACACTAATTATAATTTTATTCAAATAACTTTATTCAATCACGTGTAGCACTTACTAGTAACTAAACAGGATTTAGCTCACATAAGAAATATACTTTAATATTTAGTAATGTACTAAAAATACTAACCTTTATTCTCACTATAAATCTCTCTCTTTCTCTCTTTCTCTCTCTCTCTCTGTCTTTGATGACAACTATGAACTCAAAGTCTAATCATAAATCCATTTGAAATCATTTCAAACTATAAATGATATGATTATCGATANGCGTTCTCTCTCTCTCTCTCTCTCTCTCTCTCTCTCTGAATTTAAATTAAATATATTGAATAAATAAATGACATCAGAATTGAAAGTTATAAACTTTAACCCGGATCTCATTTGTGGACTTTATTTGTATTCATATCAATAATAAGCCATAATTTCAGTGAATTCTGTAAATTCTGTGTACATTGAGTATGAATTGAGTACAACTTGTACTGCATGCTATGTTTAAATTATTCAAAACTTAACAAAAAGGCATTATATTGTACGCAAAGATGACATTTGAATGAAAATACAATTATAATTGCAATCTTACGATTCCAGACCATTACTCAGACTCTGAGCCTCAGAGTATAACAGTAAACAGTTTAACTACATTTCATGTATGTTTTATTCATACAATTCAATGCAAAGCATTGCAAACCAATAGTTTGTAAAATTTTTACTTCTAACGAGGAGTTTGGACTCAAGTCTATCGATAATCATATCATTTATAGTTTGAAATGATTTCAAATGGATTTATGATTAGACTTTGAGTTCATAGTTGTCATCAAAGACAGAGAGTATATAAGAGAGGGTCCGACGACTATATCGTATCATTTGGTGCTTACACTCGACTTCAGCCACTTTTTTAACAACTTTTTTAACGTCTTCTTAAATTTTTTATAGTTGTTTTTTTCTCATTATTGCATTGATTACTGCATATAAAGTCTGAAAAAGATGTCAAATACTTCAGGTGTTATTAAAATGGAGGCGTTCTCTCGATTCTCATCGCTACCACTCGTCAACTCTGCCATCGGTTTAGCCTCTGATGGATATTCGCGTTTCAAGGGTTACAATCGGCTGTTGTCGGCCACCCTTTCCCGAGCCGAACAGTCTTTACTATTCATGGCCTCCACAGCAAAGCCTGTCATCCAAAAGCTGGAAAAGCAAAGTAAGACATCCACTGAATTAAAATTATGGTTATTTTACTGATAATTCCTTATTATAGTCTCAATCGCTGATAACATCGCGTGTCAGGGATTGGATAAACTCGAAGAAAAAGTTCCGGCGCTTAAAAAGTCCACCGAAGAGGTATTTATAGAGCCATTATTTGTGTTGATTACGGGTTTAATGACAGTATGATTATCGCAGATAAGGGACGAAACAAAGAAATTATTTGATGGAAGTGTTGAGCGCATTGGAGGGATGCGAAAGTACAGCACCGATACTTTACATGTTATCAAAGACTATGGCTTTACTAAAGTGAACGGTATTCTGGATTCTCCATACATACGTGTCTTAACCAAATCTATTGACACCGCCATCGACTTGACCCACAACGCCGTCGACCACTACTTGCCCGCCGCCGCCAACGAGAAACCGGCCGATAAATCTGAGGGCCAGACAC